TCCTGGTACTCGGGAGGCAGAGGCAGGAGAATTGCTGTGAGTTTAAGGCCAGCCTGGGCTTCATAGTGAGTTCAAGGTCAGCCTGAATTACAAAGTGAGACCCTATCATAAAAAAGAAAGAAAATCAAAACACTGTAACAAAAATTAAAAGAATGGGCAGGCTCAAGGGTACATGGTTATAATCTCAGCTACTTGGGAGTCTGAGGCAGGAGGATAGCACAGTCAAGGCCAGCCTGGGAAACTTAGCGAGAACTTATCATAAAATGAAATGAAAGAATGTAATTCAGTGGGAAGGCCTTGGATTCAGCCTCCAGTACTGCAAAACAAGCAAACCAACCAACCATCCAACCAACCGACAAACCACAAAGAAAGAAAGGAAAGCAAAGAAGCTAAAGGAAGGTCTTTGATGGGCTGATCATTAGGCTGACTGATGGATATGGCTTAAGGAAAGAATCAATGAAAACAGAAACAGCCCAAACTGAAGTACAAAGAGAAAAAGGAGAATAAAACCAAAGCAGAATACTCAAGATCTGTGAGATAATTACAAAAAAATATAACCTATACTCAATGGGAATACCATAAGGAGAAGAAAAGGCTGCAGAAGACACATTTGAAATAACAAATTTAATGCAGAAGTTCAGCCACAAATCTAGGAAGCTCAGAAAACACCACATAGGATATACAACAAAAATGTACATGTAGACATATCAGATCCAACCTATAGAAACCAAAAATGAAGAGAAAAATCTTGAAAGAACTCAGAGAAAAAAATTCTACCTTACTTATGGGGAAAGAAGAATAAGAATTATATTGGACTTCTTTTTATAAAATATGCATGCAAAAACACACATATTGGTGTTGGAAATGTATAATGGTACAATTGTTAAAGATAATAATTTGGCAGTTGCTTCAACAACAATGTAAACCAGGTGTGGTATCCTGGTGTGGTATCCAGGTGTGCTGGCTTAATCCCAGCACTCAGGAGACTGAGGTACGAGGATTGTGAGTTCCTTCCAACATCCTGGACTACATAGTCAGCTGTTTCAAAGGACCACACCAAGTCAAACTAAATCACATCAAAACAAACCAACAATCAAACAAAACAAAGCAAAAACCCCTCAAAATGAACATTTTTATTAGTCCGTGTTTGCAGAGCACGATGATTACATTCATAATAGGGAGTTGGTACGGGCACAGAACACATTTTAATTCTTTTTTACATCTCTTAACCCTCCCATTCCTCCCTGCTCCTTCCAACAATTGATCCCCATCCCATTTGCAAATGCTCTGTTTCTTTTTTTCTCAATTCTTTTTTTCCTATCCCCTTTTCCTCCCTTTCCTCCCCATCTTTTCATCTTGTGTTTCCCCATCAGTTTGAAAAAGACCTCCCTACTTACTTATCTATCTTTTATTTTGCTCTTTATTTATATTTTTTGAGTTTCTCATATAAGAGACACCATGAAATACATAATCTCCTGTGTTTGACTTATTCACTTAATATTATGGTCTCAAGGTGCATCCATTTACCTACAGATAACTCAAGTTTATCTTTCTTTATGGCAGAGTGGTACTCCATTGTGTATAAATACTACACCTGTTGATGACTTCACCCAGGGTTGATGGATTCACACAGTGGTGATGGCTTCATTGTTGATGGCTGTTTTCAACATATAGCTATTATAAATTGTGTTGCTATAAACATGGATATGCATGTATTACTGTAATACATTGTCTTCAACTCTTTTAGGAAGATATATAGAAGGGGAATAGCTGGGTCAACTAGAATTTCTAGCTTTTTTTTTTTTTTTGAGGAATCTCCACACTGATTTCCATAATGGTTGTATTAGCTCACATTCCCACCAAAAATGTATAAGGATTCCTGTTTCTCCACAGCCTCACCAGCATTTGTTATTATTTGACTTCCTGATGATGGCCATTCTTTCTGGAATAAGATTGTATCTCAGTGTTGTTTTAACTTGCTTTTCTCTAATGGTCAGCAATGTTAAATATTTTTCATGTCCCTATCAGCCACTTGTACTTCTTCTTCTAAGTTTCTGTCCATTTTGGTTGCCCAGTTTTTGATTGGGCCTTTTATTTGGGGGAGGGTCTAATGAATTCTTTATGTATTCTAGATGTTAGTTCTTTCTCTGAGGAGTAGCTGACAATTTTTTCCCCATTTTATAGGTTATCTCTTCACTTTATTTGTTGTTTCCTTTGATGTGCAGAAGCTTTTTAATTTGATATGATCCCATTTATTCACTCTGGACATTATTTCTTGTGCAATTGGGGTTTGGTTCAGAAAGTCCTTGCCTATTCCTGTGCCTTCAAAAGCTTACCTATTTTATATTTCAGCAGATTAAGCTTTTCTGTTTTAATATTTATGTCTTTGGTTCATTTTGTTATTTTTTAGTTTAGTAGATGGTGAGAGATATGGGCATGTGTATAGCCAGTTTTCCCAGAACTACTTGTTAAAGAGGTTATCTTTCCTCTAGCATATGTCTTTGGCTCCTTTGTCAAAGATCAAATAGCTGAATGTGCCTGGAGTTGTTTCTGCATCCTCTATTCTGTTCCATTGATCCACATGTCTGTTTTTGTGGCATTACTACGCTGTTTTTATCATTGTAGCTTTGTAATATAACTTTAAATCTGGGATTGCAGTGCCTGCCTCCTGATTTGCTGTTGTTACTCAGGATTGCTTTTGCTATTTTAGGTATTGAACAGGCATTTTATCAAAGCATATCGAAGTGGTGTCTTAGGCATTTAACTCATCCCTGGGACTCAGAACCCAACCCCTACAACTTAAAGAGGAGTGAACTGGATGTTGTAGTGCATGCTTGTAATACCAGCACTTGGATACATAAACTTGGGAGATTGAAGAGGACAGCCTTGGGTATGCAGTGAGTTTAAGACCAGCCTAAACTACATGGTGAGACCCTCTCTCTAAATAAATAAATAAATAAATAAATAAATAAATAAGAGATTTATTTTGGCCCACATATCAGTCCACGGTCAGCAGGCTCCAGAGACAAAACAGCATTGCAGAGGGGCATGGCAAAGGAAGCAGCTGCCTACCTCATCATAGCCTACAAGGAGAGAGTGAAGGGAAACGCTGGGAAGGGTGATTCTGTCTAACCTGGGTCATGCCAACTGTGACCTGCCTCTTGGGACCAGACCATAATGCTATGATTGCATGAGACTTTAGGGGGACATCTTGATAGGAAATATAATAGATGCTAAATGAACACATGAAAATATGATCAACATTACTAGCCATTAGGGAAATGAATATTAAGACTATAACTATCAAAATATACAGACTATCAAAATAGTTGAAACAAAAAATAGTGACAATACCAAATGGTGGTAATAATGCAAAGAAACTGGATGTCTCCATTGTTGTGGTGGGAATGTAAAATGGTACAGCCATGCATTCACTAGTGGACGATCGATCATCTAGAACCCTCATGATCCAATTGCTTTCCCAAAAGCCCACATCAGAAGACCTGAAACTTTTTAGAGATATTCTAGATGTTACCCATAATAAACAGGCTTCTTATGCACTTGTAATTGTTTCAAAATAAAAGGTTAAAAATATAAAAAGCTGTTTTGTTCAAATAAGATAGCACTTCTCATAGAAAAGCTTACAAAACTAAAATCCAACTTTCTTTAAAGCTCTCCATCATCAGCTTTATGTTAAAACTAAGACTTTTTTAAATGTATTACAGAGCAGAAGAACAAGTTAACCAAAGAAACAAGAAAGAAAGAAGTAAACAACCAGCATTATAATGTATTGAATTAAAAAGAAATTTCTTTTTCTGCTAGGGATTGAACCTGTTACTTCAGAACATGCTAAGCATTTGGTCTGACGCTGAGTTACACCCCCACCAACAATTCCTTTGTAAGGGAAGCATCATCTGGCCTGATCTTAAAAAAAAAAAAAAAAAAAGGGTTAGGAAATACCCTATGGATAGCTACTTACACAAAAGCACCCTCAAGAAATTAATTTTAAAATTCTCATTGCCAGTCCTTAAACAAAAAAAATTTTTTTTTATATCAAGGAACAGAAAACCCAGTCGTGAGCCGTAGCAGCACAGCAGAAATATTCAGCTATTATATTAAGCTAAGTTTTTAGTCTAGCATTCTTAGGGAAAGGATTCTTTGTATTACATAATTAAAAGTCAGTTAACAAGTTCAAGGCCAGCCTGAACTGCATAGCGAGACCCTGTCTCAAAAAAACCAAAACCTCATGAACTGAGGTTAATACTATCACTAAAAATAAAAATAAGGTTTGGGGAATGGGTGGGCGGGGGGACAGAACGGGAAGAAAGGGATTAAAAAAGAGAAACTGTAGTATGTATATGTATCCACTCCCCAAGATGATTGTGAACTGCGTGTACTGTAAACATGTACTTTTTAGAGTCAAATAACAAAAAAAATTAAATGTCAGTAATATTGTATTCTTTTAATGTATTTTTTTCTGAACGTATTTTGATTTTCAGCTCATTTTGACTTAATAGTTAAAACATACCCTCCAAAGAAGTATTCATTTTTGGGTTGGTAGAATGATTTGCCCAGTGTCTCATATGCCAAAATAAATTTATATTGATCTATATTTGAAAAAAAAAATCCAAAGGACAAGGTAATCCCTGTAGACTAAACGGTGATTGCCCGCATAAAAGAATCTACTCATATAATTTAATACTCCTCCCCACACCCCCACCCCTCCACACCGTACTGCCTGCGACATAAGCTGTCACATTTTAGGGTTTAGGATAAAGTCCGAGATAGTCAGAAACACTTAAACAACTAGTCCTTTATTATGCCGCAGTGCTTTTAACAGAAGCTTAAGGGAATAAGTTTCAGAGTCCAACTTGGAGTGCGAGGGGAGTTGAAACCCCCATTTGGTCAAGTCATCTGCCCTAGACACCTTTCCGAGACCTGGGTGACGCGGAGTCACCTTCGCCCGGTTCAAACTGCAAGAGCGAGTAAGGGGCGGGGCCTGCCGGGGGTAAGATGGCGGCCACGCGACGCTCTGGGCTGCCTGGGCCGCTACTCTGTACAAGGAAGTCCTCCGGCCGTCGCTTTTAGGAAGCGGAAGTAAAGGGGCGATTGGCAGCTGGTGTTTCCCTGAGACCGGCTCGCAAGTGAAGCCGCGGGAAAGGCGCGTGTCGGCCTCTCACTGGCGCAGCCTCCGCCGCCGCCGCCGCCGCCCCGCCCCGCCCCGGCGTTGTCGCAGGCGCTGTGGTGGACGGTGTGCGGCCCGGGCATGGGCAGCGAGGGGGACGCGAGCGGAGCGTGTGCCGCGGCTGCGCGGCCGGTGACAGGTACCCGAGGGTGGGAGTGGGAGGCCTCGTGCATAGGGAGAGGGTCCGGCGCGTCAGACGACCCTGTGCCCAGGTCACCTTGAGCTTCCGCCTCTACCCTCAGTCTCCCTGCGCGAGTCGCAGCTCTTCGCGAGCGCCCTAAGTTGTCCCTAGTGGTCTCCCCCGCAAGGTGGCGAGTCCTCGGGCTGGCCGTGGGCAGCCCTCAGCGGTCTGGAGTCGTCTCTGAGGAGCTTTGAGACCCAGGTGCCCAAGTGCGGAAGGAGGAAGTGCCCTAACGTGAATTTGGACCGAACCTAACCCCGAGTAGATTAAGAACCAGCACTTAGCAGGAGTGATTGAAGAACTGCCTGGTCCTTTTATAGGTTTCTGTTTTCCTTAAATGAATTCGGGTGATGCATATTGGTCGTACTTTTCATTTAATGCTGGGGGACGTGTTGGCTGGGAATTGGAAGATCGGGGTTTCAGTTTTAGTGTGTGGCACTTGCCAGAAGCATATGATCACGTACATCGCCAAAAGTTATGGATGTGAGCTGGCCGTGTTTCTTGGTTGAAAGCTGTAGCTTCTTTAGTATTTGCTGCCTGATTTGAGAAGGAACATATTTTGTTCATTCCAGGACCTGGGATCTTATGCTTTTTGGAATCATTCACTGGTGCACTTCCTGGCCAATTTTATATAAAGGCCCTCTTTTCTTGAAATATCTTTTACACTGGCAGGCGTTTGAGCACTCACTTTGTTTTATTTTATTAAGACGGGATCTCTCTATGTAGATCAGGCTGGTCTTGATGTCAGTATGCAGCCCAGGCTAGCCTTGCACTTGGGGCAGTCCTCCTGCCTCAGCCTCCTCTAAGTGCTGAGATTACATGCGTATGCCATTATCCCCGGCTTGAACACATTTTAAATAGATAGGTAATGCCACAGAACTGGAGATGATGATAGCCTTTTCCCCCTTGACTAGCTTTTCATATACTTAGCTGAAATCCACTTTATTTAAGGAAGTAAACAGTAATTTCAGCAAACGGGAATACACGGGGCTATGAAGAAAATTCATTTGGAACATTTATGCAGTTATCTGATCATTTTTGTATCAGGTATGTAGTGACTAGCTGAAGTCAGGTGTATGTGGTTCACAGCAAATGGTTTAGCTAATATGGATAATTGTATATTAGGGTTACTTGAGAAGTGAGTTTATTTCTCAGAAAGGGTACTTCCTAATGTTTTCTCACTACTATATGTTGAAACTCAGGTGCACATTGATAAACTTGCAGATTGCATGTTGTTTTTAAAGAGGTTGTTAGCTCTTCAGTTTAAAAATGAAGGAAGAAAAGGTGGATGAGTTAAATTTTAGAACCATTGTGTCTGTTGTTTCCCCAGAAGTGAAAAGAATTTACCATGCATAATTTCCGTTTATCTTTTCTGTATTTTACTTTAGATAAATAAGCAAGGACTAATATTTTAATTTAAATATACTAGAAACTTACAGGTATGGTTTTGGCCAGTTTACCAATAGTTGAGACAGTTGTTAGAGAATGTTTTATGTTAATGTGTTATGTCACAGGCGTTGTGCCTATAATCTTGGAGTGCTACATGGTGCAGTGTGACAGCTGTTATCACTGAGGCTATTCATTTAGGACCATTAGTGTCAGAATGGTAAGGGACCCCATAAAATGGAAGTACTGTATCCTCAAACAAGACCCCTTCAGTGAGGTTCTTAGCAGTTTCTCTGGACAACCCTTTTTTCTGTTAACACCTGTGATATCAAGTATGTGGGGTCAAGGTGGCAAAGTTCTTACTCCTCCTCCTCTTCCTTTTTCTACCATGCCCACTCCTCAGTATTGGACATTAGACCTAGGGCCTTCCAACTGAGCTACATCCTGTGCCCTTATTAAATTTTTAAGGTTTGAGACAGTAGCTCACTAGGTCACTATGTAGCCTGGGCTAGGCTCATACATGAGTGCTGAAATGACAGGAGTGTGCCACCAGAAGCTCTAATATGTAGCTGTCTACTTGTTCTTTTTTGGAATGGTGCTATACCCCACCTTACAGATATATACTTTCTGTCTAAAACAATCCAAGGGGTTCTCTGGGTAAGTCCCAGGCACATAGGATTTTCGTTTTTCTTTGTTTTTTGGTGGTATGGGGATTGAGCCAACGGCCTTCACACTGAAACAGTTTTGGAAGGCTGCTTCACGAGTGTCTTTAGTTTTGCTGTCCTGGCTGCCTTGATATCCAGAATCTGTTATAAACATTTACCATTCTTGGTCATTTTAACTTTGGGGAAGAGCCAGAATTTGCATGGTGCCAGATCTGGTGTATAAAATGAATGAAGACACACCATGATGTTTTCATGACCTTGCCTTTCCATTGGATGGTACTTGACAACAGCATTCACCATAATTTTTGATTACTTCTCGTAAAGACATAAATGAGGACTTTCAGAACTGCTTCAGAAAGTAGCAAGATCGAGAGGATAAGTGTTTGAAGGGGGCATATTTTGAAGGGGATTAATGGCAATGTGTCTTTTACTATAATAACTTTTAAGAAAAAAATATTCTGTGAATATTTTGATCAGTCCTTGTAGCGTAGTACTGTGGAACTTGTAGACATGATTACAACCCTTAGGGAAATTCAGTCCCCAGTTATTGTTTGTGAATGTTAGGTAACATGGGGTATGTAAAGCTAGCCCATTGCTCAGTAAAGGGTAGGATTTCCTGAGGAGTCTTTTGTCCTGATCCCAATTCTCTTATCACTCTACCTGCTGTCTGTCTGGGGTTACCGTGTGGTAAATAGTGTTCAACTGTCATTCATCATGAATCACCACTCTGTGGAATTATACTTGTATAAATTCTATAACACTAGAAGGTTCTGACAGGAGCCTGCATCTTTCCCCTGCTTCAGCCTGGAGTCATTGCTAGCAGGTTTCATTGTCAAAGGTTTAGTTTGGTTAGGCCTGTTTTCAGATTTTATTTTTGTGCATAGATTCTTTTGTTTCTCCAGTCTCCACAGTGGTCTTTATAAATATTGATTTAAAAAAAAATACTTCTGAGCATCTTTATTTATAAATGTGATGTTCATACTTTTTTTTTCCCACAGAAGAGCTGGTAGTCCCTGAATTTAAAACTCTTTTAAAAGCCATTTTTCTTTTTGCTATAGTTGATTTTGCTTTTGACCATTATTTTTCAGGGACTGTATATTATAGAAAACAGGATGTTAGCACAAACTGTGATTTTTTGGGGGAGGTGACAAGGGCTCATTATATAGTTAAGGCTGGCTTTGAAGTCATTGTGTAGCCCAGGCTGGCCTTGAACTTAGGGCGATCCTCCTGTCTTAGCCTACCGTGTGCCAGGATTTCAGGCATGTGCCGCCATGCCTGGCTTTATAATTCTTGTAGAAAGAAGGTATTGATTGGTTTCCCCAATATTATTGTCTCTTCCTGTCAGATATATGACCAATATAGAGGAACTGGGGTGAAACTGGGTAAGCCATATCAGATGCTAGTCTTCCCACAGAGTCTCATCCTCTTGGGGCCTGAATGCTAACATTTCCCTTTCCTTTCCCTCCTTCCCTTACATGAGGTCTTAGCCAGGTTAGCCTTGAAATCCTGGGCTCAGGCAGTTCTCATCCCCCCTGCCTCACCCTTCTGAGTAGTAGGGCCACTATGCACACCCAACAATCTTATATTTATTTATGTTTTATTTGTGGGGCTGAGGGTTTGAACCTCGTGTCTCCCAAATGCTAGGCAAGTGCTCTGCCGCTGAGCTCTGTCCCCTCCCTCTGGATGCTAACTTTTATATATCTCTGCGGGACAGCTGATTAAAGTTCTGTTAGGCAGGTTCTGGGATGAGAAAATCATCAACTGGAGACTGTTTCTGAAATGGCCTGGTCACTCTCTGTGAGGCTCTGAGCGAGGCTGTTGACAGGAGCTAGAAGCTGCATGCTGTGACTGTGCTGCTTGCTAGTCACTTGGTTTCCCTGTTGTGTAGATGAGGATGAGTGCCCTTGAAACCCATTGAATTCTTATATTTGTTCATTCCAGAACCTGTCTTTGAGTTAGTTACTTTAGAGAGTCATATTAGTTTCCTAAGGCTGCCATAACAATATACTACAAACTTGATGGCTTAGAACAATGGAAATTTATTCCTAAATCATGTTCCATGATTCTCTGAAGCTCTAGGTCATCTTTCCTTGCCTCTTCCAAGGTAGTCCCAGGCATTCCTTGAGGTGCAGTATGATTTCAGTGTCTGTCTTTCTTCACCTGGAGTTCTCCCTGTGTCTCTTCATATTGTGTGCTCCCCAGAGTCTCTTTCTGTGTCCCACATTTCCTTTTCCATTATGCTAGTTACATTGAATTAGTGCATCTTAATGACCTCATCTTAACTTGCTTACCTCTGTGAAGACCCTGTCTCCAAATAATTTCACATTCTGAGGGACTGGAATTTGGGAGTTAAGCTTATTTTCACAGAGGATAAAATGCAACCCACAACACTCATCTATTATTTATGTTTTCATCTATTTCAGCTTAATTTACCTCATGCTTTATAAAACATTTGTGGGTAAAACTTGGTGCACCACCAACTGACTTTTCTACTTCTATATTGTATAGATTCCCCAGGAAATGAAGTAGAGCCTCTATAGGGAAGAATGTAATGAACTACCAACCTTTAACTATGTATCAATCACTCCACAAGTATTATTGTTTAAGATGGTCCTATTTTTGCAACTTCAACGTTCTGTTGTATCTCTAGGTATTAAGATTGTTATTTTGTGTCTCTAAGTATTAAGATTTAAACATTACCTTTTTTTTTCTTTCTAGGGCTTTGTTGTAAAATGAGACTTCTAATTGTACTCACTGCATTATGGCTCTTCTCCTCAGTAAAAGCAGATTCAAAAGCCATTACAACCTCTCTCACAGCAAAGTGGTTTTCCTACCCACTGTTGCTAGAAGCCAGGTAAAAAGATCTTTTCTTTCACATATTTGAATATAAATGTAGGCTCTTCCAGGAAATGAATGAATATTCAGCAGCTTTCAGGAATGAGATTATGATCCTCAGATACATTTATTAATGTGCTCTGTACTGTATAAAGGCTGTTAGGACACAGAATCTTTCAGTAGGGACAAGGCTGTATTGATCCAGAGAAGCTCCGGAACTTTGTTAGACAAATATGTAGAATTGGTTAAATTATTATTTTGTCTTCCGAAAAAGTTTAAGTGTGATTACAAGGAAAGAGCGAGTTATATTTAAAAGAAATTTTCTTCTTGGCGAGGACAGTTTTAAGGGGTTCTTACTAAGTGCAAGAGAAGAGAGCTGGGCAAGGCAGGGGTTGCGGGGAGAGCACATGGTCTCCTGAAAACCGAGTGAAGACGCCAGGGTTGGAGAGTGTAGGGACTGAGTTGGGTGGTGGAGGAGGAGGACAGGTTTATCTGTCCCAAGGTGTCTGTGTTCTATATTGTAACCTCTACAAAATCAAATCAAGAAATTATCTTAGCAATTAAAATTGGTAGCATTTTTCATAAAACAATTACATGTTTTAAAATTGATAAAATACAATATAGTCAATGATTTCTTGGGACATTTTCAATTCCAAGGGTGCTTTTTAGCTAGTGTTTATAATATACATACCATAAAATACCTTTTTTTCTTTGCAATATTGGGGATTGAACCTAGGGGTTTCACAAAAATTGAGCTACATCTGCAGTCCTTTTTTCTTTTTTCTATTGAGATAGGGTCTCACTAAGTTGCCTAAGCTGGGCTGAAACTCAGGATCTTCCTGCCTCAGCCTCTCAGAGTGCTGGGATTACATAGATTGGCTATCATACGTGGCTGAGATACCGCTTTTTATAGCCAGTTTTTACATGCTTATGCACAGAAACTTATTTATTATATCACAAATAATATATAGTTGGGATTGAAGGAAATCTTTCCAAAGGATAAATGTGGTAGATCATATAGCAAGCACTTGCAATTCTCAATGTTTGATACTAGGAATTGGAATTATCAGGTCACTTCAGTTAACTTTGTGGTCTGTCTGTGTTGTCTTCAGCTTAGAATTTTGTTCTTTAACTTTTCTTCTTTAATTCCTTAAAACATTTGAATGAAGCAGTGTGTTACGTTGGTTATGTGGATAGTTACCCTGCCAAGGAGAACCTTGTCTGGTGTGGGGAAGAGAACTCATGGGGAGGGGTCAGTGGGAGCTGATCTGGACACACAGGGCTGAATGGACTTCTGCTGAGCAGACTCCTTCCATATACCTCGTGCCTCCCTTCGCTCAGCAATGAAATGGCAAAAAAACCAAAACAAAACAAGAAAAAACCAGAACCCCCACCAGAACAAGTCCCAGCACCACTGTGTGCATTGCATAGTGGTTTTACAGTAACTAAAGTGATAGATGGGTTGAGCTCCTCTGGTGCTTCTTCATTGGATTATGGCTGGTTGTGCAAGTGAAGTAGCTGAGGGTTGTTGGAGATCCTAGACTGCTTGAGTCAGGACCCTGGTAACTCAAGTTTTGTTTTACTTCGCTTTTCCTATTTGTAATTGTATTTTGGATGATTTGATATAAATCTCATGCACTGAGATTTATTAGCACTTTTGGAATAATTTTGAACAGTTAACCATAACAGATGTTTCATGATATTTTGCTTGAAACATTCTTAGCTGAGTTACATTGACTTCTCTCACTTGTATTGATACCAACTAGTTTTTTGGAATTTGCCCTTTGTCCTGAAAGAGCCTTAGGGCATATACCTATGGGCTTTTAAGAAAGCAGGCCAAATTGTCATCCTCAGTTCCTCAGGTTTTTTCAGTTGCTTCAATCATTGTGGAGTAGGCTAAAAATTCCTTCTCTAAATTCTGTACCATAAACATCCCTTTTCATGATGTCCCTGGTCATTGTTTTTAGGCCTCTTCTGTCCTGTGGCTATTTGCAAACCTGTGGCCAAGGTCGTGAGGCTTGTAGGCAACTCAGGAAGGAGCTCTGCTTCTTTGAAAGTACTCTGTGTTTCCTTCCAGAGCTTTCAGAGGCTGCCACTCTTCATCTGTGTCTGATGATGGCTTGTGGCTCCCTGTCCTCCTGGGTAAAGATGAAGGGGCAAAATCTTTCTCTACACATCAAGGCATGTAGTTATCATAGACCTTGTGCCAGCCTCATGACTATCCCATAGGGACTAAAACTATTCCTGTGTACATTTTTAGATTGTGCTTTTATTTACTGTTTCTGTGCCCCTGAGCAAGTTCACAGTGTCTCTGAGTGGCAGCTTCTTTTTGAAAATATTTATAACAGGGTGGTTTTGTGGATTTGTGGATACAGGTGAATGTGCTGAACCTGGTGACTGTTGCATTGAAGACTTCCCTTAGACATTTCTTTCCCTTCCTCTTCGAGCCCTGTTTAGAAGAATATCTGTTCTTATCTCACAGTAGCTTTGGAAAGTTTACCACCAGATTTGTGCTACCTGGTGGACATTCAGGTTGTTTGTAGGGTTTTTTTTTGCTGTGGGGCAGCAGTGGAGTCATAGATGGCAAACTTTATTATGACTTTTTGAAATGCTTATAAATGGAGACAGTGGTATATGCTCTCCACATACCTATCAGTCTCTTCCTTCCTTCCTTTCCCCTTCCCTCCCTCCCTTCTTTCCTTCCTCCACGCCTTCCCCTTTCCTTCCTTCCTTCCTTTTTGATATTGGAGATTGAACCCAGAGCCTTTGCATTAAACTACAGCCCCAGCCCTTTTTATTTATTTATCGTTTTGGAGACAGGATCTCACTAAGTCACTTGAGCTTGTGATTGCTCTTTTCAGCCTCCTAGAAAGCTGGGATCACAGATATGTGTCACCACACCCAGCCCATCAGTCATTTTGAGCAGTTATCAGTATGGTAACCACTATTACCTTCTTCCCATCTCACTGGAATATTTTAAAAGAAATACCTATATCATGTAATTTTATTTGTAAAACTAGAGTTTTACTTAGAGGCACAGGTATAAGAAGCTAAAAAACAAAATGAAAATGCAAAATGAATTATACTCCAAAAGAAATGACAGTGTTCCTTTTTCATAATGTCTACCATTAGTTTCCTGTCCCCTGGATTATTTCTATGGATCTAGTACTTAATTTTCTTAATACTATTCTCAGCTTAGACCTGTAAGACTTATTTATGTACTGGGATGAAAAAGAATAATATTTCAAAAAATTTTCATGTATTTAACCTGGATGAGTCCTTGTTCTCAGCACAGCGAAAGAATGTGTCATCCCCTTCTGCTAACTTATAAATGCGGCTTAATTTACCAGTTTGGTGTGTATTTGCACATCATGACTCAGAAACTGTTTTCTTAGACTGTAAACTATTCTTCTGTTACTCTAGAAAGCCTAGAGAAATACAGAGGCATTAAATAGTTAAATACATTATGATAATGGGTATTTTCAGAAACCTATTTTTAGAGAAGCTTTGCATTACCAGGAAATGTTTCTTATTTTTCCCATATTTCTGTGTCTAGCTGTGGAGTAGAGTGAGAGTTGTACACCCCAGTGTTGACAAGTAATGGGAAAGTCTTCCTTTGGCTAGGTAAGCTGAGATCCAGATCTGTAGTTTGCTTTAAGACAGTGAAAGATCACCACTACATTAGTTCTCTGGGCTGGGAGTGAAGATAACCAGTGTATATGAATCATTCACTCAGTTACTACAGATGTTTTATTTTAGGAATTTTAGATGCTTAGATGAAGAGCAGTTCACAGCAGATGTTATTTTAGGTTAATAGTAGAAAGTAGAAAAAGATTAAGGTGATATTGACATTTTAGATCTGATTTTGTTAGATCAGTGTTAATGTTAACATAAATATGATGATCTTGAAAATTTAGATTTATGGGTATTAAAAAATTGTAATGTGTTGTCTTTTGCTTCTTTGCAATTTTCTAGGGTTTATATTTACTGTAGGAGAATCTTTAGGCAAAACATGGTTTTTGTTCTTTGTAAGGTCTTCAGAAAATAAGTGAGCAGAACTAGTAGTAGAATTATTAGTTTCTAACTCTGCTTCCACTACTGATAGTATTTTTGTTAGGGGGATCTCATAAGCTTTGTTAATATCAGAATTTCCCTGTTACAACATTTTTATTATTTCAGGGTTCTTAAATACAGTGAAGTAAATGTTATTAAGCTATATGTTATTAATAGCTAGTAAGCTAGTAAGATTTATTATTAAGAAAGACATAAATTAAAAGCCAAACTATGGACATTTGGAAATTTTTAAACTTTTTATTCTCTGTAGTAATGTAGTTTATGTTAGGAGATTTTTATTAAGTTTTATTTCTAACATTTCCTCCTTTTCTCCCAGTGAGTTTTTAGCAGAAGACAATCAAGAGAAATTTTGGAATTTTGTAGAAGCCAGTCAAAATATTGGATCATCAGATCATCACGGTAAAATTGAAGCAAATACTTCTTTCACTGTGGTGTCTGGGAAAATATTAGAAAAAAATGTTATCTTTTATAGTATGTATGATGTGGCAGTTAATAGAAAGCATTTTTTTAGTCTTTAATGACTAGAGCTACAGTGCTAGCCAGGAAGAGCCAAATACTATAATTATTTTAGACTGTAGGGCCTCATGCAGATTAAGCATATGCACTATCACAGAACAGTACTCTAAGGTACAAAAGACTTTATAAAGGATATGATAAGTGAAAGAGCTGAGCAGAGAAATAGTCTGGGATTCAAGAAGAGCTGTCACTAGTCCATTGTAGCATGGAATAGGAATCGGGGTGACTTCCTGGAGTAAGTGATTTCACAGCTGAATTCTTTGGGAATAGGTAGGTGGTTATCCAGGTAAGTGGGAAAATAGCAGTTCAGAGAAAGGGAATAGTTTGGGAAAAGGGAAGAAGAAAGGAAATGTTCAACTGCATTCTGTATCCAGGATATTTTGAACATTCAGCAAAAGTTCTAGACAATATACTGGTAAAATTTTGTAGTCACATACCTTTGCAACCTATAGCTTTATGAACTATTTTATTTGGCTGTCACTAGTTATATTGAGTTGTTTAGATTCATGTTCTTTCTTGACAGGTACTAATTATTCCTATTATCATGCAATATTGGAAGCTGCGTTTCCATTTCTATCACCTCTACAACAGAATTTGTTGAAATTTTGCCTGTCTCTTCATTCCTACTCAGCTACAATTCAAGCCTTCCAGCAGGTAAGTCCAGTGCTTCTGGACAGCACTTTTTCTTTTGTTACTGGGAATCGAACCCAGGACCTTGCGCTTGCCAGGCATGTGCTTATGCCACTGAGCTATATCCCCAGCCCAACAGTAGCATTTTGTAAGATGTCTGATGCAATGATGGGATAGATTGCAGTTGTCATGGAATTGAATCACAGAATTGTCACTTTTTTTCTGGGATTTATAATTTATTTTAAAATGAGAAGTAGAACTGATGTTAAGTGTTTAGTTTTGTTTTTGTTTTTGAGACAGGATCTCGCTATGTAGTTTGGGCTGGCTTTGAACTCACTATGGAGCCCATGCTGGCCTTGAACTCATGGCGATCCTCCTGCCTCAGCCTCCCGAGTGCTGGGATTACAGGTGTGTGCCACCAAGACCAGATTCTCCCTAATGATTATTGATGTAGAGAATCTTTTTATACACTTAGTGGCCACTTGTACATCTTCTTTGGAGAATGTCTGTTCAGTGCCTATGTACATTTTTAAATTTGAGTGGTTGGTTTTTGTTAAATTCTTTATATATTTTGGGTATTAGTCCTAATCAACTTTTTCAGATACATGATTTGCAAATATTTTTTTCCCATTCCATGAGTGGGTTGCCATTTTACTCTGTTGACATGATAGTATCCATTGGTGTGGAAATTTTTAATTTTAAAGACCAGTTTTATTCTTTTATTGCCTTTTGGTGTCACATCCAAGAAACTGTCAAATCCAGGGTTACTAAAATTTCATCCTGTATTTTCTTCTGAAAGTATGTAGTTTTAGCAATAGCTTATGTCACTGATCCACTTTGAATTAGTTATTGCATATGGTATAAAATAAGGATCCAACTTCACACTTGCATATGAATATCTGTTTTTCCGAGTTCAGTTTGTTGAAAAGGCAGCCTTTTCCCCATTGAATGGAGTTGGCACCTTTGTCAAAAATCATTGTATCTCATATACAGATGTTTATTTTTGAACTCCTATTCCATTGTTCTATGTTTGTCTGTATTTGTAGTACCACATTGATTGCTGTATTTAGTATGTTAAGAAGCTTTAGGATCATTTTGTATAATCTTTGGCTGTATAGATTTACAATCAGCTATTTCTCTAAAAGGTTCATTAAACTGTGTGTGTGTGTGTGTGTGTGTGTGTGTGTGTGTGTGTGTTGGGTGTTAGGAAATAGTTTTTTTTTTTTTTTTTTTTTTTGGTACTGGAAATGGCACCCAAGTACTTGTACATGTGCTTTACCACTGAACCATACTGCCAACTCCTTGGGAATGATTTTTAAAAGTATAGAGATATTTATTGCTAATGAGTTGGTCATTGTTTTTAGGCCTTTTAAGTGTGTAGAGAGAAAATAACTATGTCTGTATCTTAGGGCAGGATATATATAGTACTGTGTAAAGGTGATAGACTTGTGAGCTCATACTGATATTTCCAGTTCAAATTCAGGCCTATTGCTTAATGTCTGTATCTCTCTTCTGTGTGGAGAACCCTTGTTCTCAAGGATCTCAGTTAAGATATAATTAGATTATCTCACCATGCTCATTTGCTTTGTTCACAGTATAGATACAGTACTATACTAATTTTCTTTCAGCTTGGTGATCCCTATTCTTTCTTCGCCTCTTTAAAAAATGAGTGTTTTCTACCTAATGCACTATGGAGTAGTGTAGCTCCTACCTACAGAGCGTGTATGTTTCACATTATACTGTCTTACCTTATCAACCTAATTCCATCCTAGTTCTAGAAATAATGTATACCCTTTTTGATCAACAGTTTTACACTCATGTCTCTAGTCATTTGGCCCTCCTTTCTCTTTCTTATGTGCATCTGCTCTCCCCCTTTCTGTCCCTCTTCTATTTCCCTCTTCCTATCTCTCTCTCTATGCTTTCTCCCCACCCTTCCTTCCTCCTTCCCTTTTGTCCTGTCTTTGGTGCTAGGGGTTGAGCCCAGGACCTTCACACTGAGCTATACCTAAAGTCCATTTTAATTTTTAGACAGGGTCTTGCTAGTCAGTGAGTTGTTTGGGCTAGGTTTGAACTTGCAATTCTCCTGCCTCAGCCTCCTAGAGTGCTGGAATTATAGGCGTGCACTACTACATCCAGCTCATTTGGCTTTTCTGATGTTGCTTACTGGTAGATTCCTCAGAAAGGATTCATGGAAACAGTATTTCCTCAGCTTTTGTGTATTTAGGTACTAGTTTCTGTGTGCCCTTTGAACTCAAATTCTGCATATAAAACCTTGGTTCATCTTTCTTTCCTTGACTATCTTAAACATATTTAAACTTCTTTCAGCATAAAGTCTTCCTGCAGATAATGTAAGTGATAGTAATCTCATTTTACTCCCTTGCATGTTTGGTGTACTTTTTTTGCACAGGGCTAGGGATTCAACCAAGGGCCTTATACCAATGTAGGCAAATCCTCCATCTCTGACGTTATATCCCTAGCTTTATTGTCTTTTTTGTCTAGAAACCTACAGAATTTTTTTTTTTTTTTTTTGTAGAGTAATAATTTTCTACCCTGTAGCATGGTAGTCTTGTTCTGGGTTAATATTTTCAGGTGTACAGTAGTCCTTTTTTGAAAGTTTTTTTTTATTGTTCCATTTTAAATATAAATAATGATAACATTTATCATAGGGCAGTATTTCCTTTTAATGCAGAGTTCCAAATAATTTTTTTTTCAACGTAATTTTCTTACACTACAATTTATTATTTTCCCTTTTTTCATCTCCTGTGATTCATATTATCTTCACATATTTTTCTTTGTGTATCTGCATTGTCCTAGTCCCTCAACTTTCTCTTTTTTTTTTCCTTTTTGTTATTTTTAAATGCCTTGTATCATGTTCTTCATGCATTTAGACTTGTTTGGAATAGTAGATTTTATATATATA